TTATATGACTAAAATACAAATATTAATTTGCTTTAATTGACTTTGTACTATTGCTTCCCTATCCCTCCCAGGATGTCTATTCTGCATGCGTTAACCTTGCCATTTCAGCAGGGTATGGGCCTACTAAAGCTAAATTTTCTATGAACGTTCTTACAAAAAATGTCATCGGAACATTTGATAACGCCATCAGAGACTTGAATGTTGTTTGACATTTCAATTTGGTTTCAATTTTGGAATGAATGGTGTTTCCCAGATGAAAATTACATTCACTGTTTTAGTGGGTTTGAGAGAAGATTTCTATTCTGCTCCTTCGATATATATATTTTTTTATTATTATTATTTTTTTCTGACACTGGTCGAAAACAAATAATATAAATTTGACCCCATTAACTATTAGGAAATCAAATCAGTGTTCCAAAAGGAACAATTTTAAAACAAAATTTGAAGGTCCTTTTCAGAAGGGGCGGTCTGATGAAGTCCGCCTGTCAGTTTTTGCTAATGTAAGTTTGGACAGCTGGATCTAAACAGATGGCTGTCCATTTACATCCGGTGGCCCCTTTACATCCGGATGTCCCAGTCTCCATCCTGGTCCAGAAAAACAAATGGAACAGTGACCTGATGGTGTCGGATCGGGGGTAATCTGTTGTAAATTGACACAAGTCTGTTTACATCCAGTTCCCTATAGACCGACATGGGGTCCAGTCATTTTAACTTTCTCCATCGCAAGTTGGAGGAAAAATCTGGAGGGACACGGATGTCACAGTGGTGACATCCAATCCTTACCGTTCCGATCAGGAGGGGATCTGTGCCTGATTGGACAGTGTGAAAGGGGCCTAACTGTGTATACCCAACCTAAGGCTATATGCCATGTCCTCGTTTAGGATTTCATCTTTGTAAGACTGCATTATATAGCCTCATCATTCCAATAGGTCGGAATGTCTTTAATTATATGCCTGATACTGTGACCCCCATTACTTCTGTATGCTGTGGCTGAAGAACATTTACAAGGCATTTAACATGCTTCCAGTAACTTTCGCAAAGCTGTTAAAGAACATTATTCCTGAGAAAACATGGAGGCTGCCAGTGCTGACCTCAATTTCTGAAAATGATAGTTACCTGGCTGAACTTCAAACTTCAGTACTCTCTGGGTACAAACCCAGAACAAGTATGCAGATACTATAAGTACATCTAACTTAAATGACCTCTATGGTCAAAACTTAAAAATAAATCTGTATTTCTGTATTGAATTTCCATAAGTTCTATCCCACTCCTAATAACCATATCAGTCTAGAAGTTTGTCATTTACTTATTGAAGATGCCCATAGGATGTACTTCCTGAATGTAGATTGCATCCCTTCCGGTCCCATAGATGTCAGTGCTGGGCGTCTGAAGCCCAGCTATAAGCTATTGAAGTGCGATCTGCACTTCAATGATTATTTGGAGTGTAAAGGTGGCACTGGAGGTCTTTTGGACCCCCAGCATCACCTTAAAGAGTACCTGTCACCACCATCTGCGATCACGTGGGGGGCTTGCCGGAGTGAGTGAGCAATAATTCTAGGGCCAGTATTTTTGGGTATCTCTAAATTGATGACCTGTGGGCGCTTTTAAAGCGTCGTCTATGGACTTTTTGGGGTACTGAGGTTTGTCGCCGTTTCACGGATGCACACAGTTTTTAACCTGGGCATGTTGGGTATTTATTTACTCGTAACCTCATCTTTTATATTTTATTTTAAAAAAAACGGGTATTGTATTATGTTTTGGGCCATTTAAGTACATTTGTACAAACATTTGCAACTGCCACCATTTTATTCTATAGGGTCTTGGCTTTCAGAAAATATATAATGTTGGGGGGTTTTAAGTAATTTTCAGGCCTAAAATGTGGAATGTATAATGGGTGCAAAAAATGGAAAAAAAAAGGCCTCAGTCATGAAGGGGTAAAGTTTCAGAGCTTATTAAATACCAGACAAAAAGTTTTCTTTAGCTCTTGGCGCTAATGGCTGCCAGCTGAACAATCCACTTGCTGTTGCACGCTCAAAGTTTTCAACAGTTTATCACAGTTTTTCACACAGACTTGAGGGGCTGCTCATCCTAGGCTCTGAAGCTTCCACCACGAACATAGAAAACAAAAGGGAACAGAGCGCCACCTCCGTGTGTAAAATCATTTATTACAATAAATAAAACATGGGATAAATGTACTCACAAACAAACATTTTCATCAGGCTTTAACAACAAACGAGAGGCCACACTGTCTGTTAACCCAACATGGTATCCCCCCGACTATGTAACACAGTAGTCTCCGGTCACATCACCGACCGCAGTCAGTCAAGATTGACGCGTTTCAGGGGCAAGCCCCCTTCCTCAGAATCAACTGGTCCGTGTTTCAAGACGGGTCGGGTGGGACACCGACGTCGCCGCAGACCCCTGGCGCCCACGGTGAGGTGACTAGAGGTAACTGTGTTACATAGTCGGGGGGGATACCATGTTGGGTTAACAGACAGTGTGGCCTCTCGTTTGTTGTTAAAGCCTGATGAAAACGTTTGTTTGTGAGTACATTTATCCCTTGTATTATTTCTTGTAATAAACTATTTTACACACGGAGGTGGCACTCTTTTTCCTTTTGCTTAGGGCTGCACAGATACTTTTCGAGTGCCAGTGCAGATACTTGGCATTTTCATGAGAACTACCAGGGTGGCAGCGGTTGCAGCTGGGACCTAGCTCTGGTGCTCCACCACTGTCCTGAAATCATTAGTCTGTATTGTTTTAGAAAAACTGTCACATGACAATAAACAAAAATGTATCAGTACTCGTACTTGTAAGTACTCGGCAAGTACCAGTACTCATACTCGCAAAACTGGTATCTGTGCATCCCTTTATTTATAAAAACAAAATCGTACATTAAAACAGAGATGTACAAATCCCAGGAGCTCCGTGTGCTCCTTACAAATGACAGCTGCCTCTTTATTTTTTAATTTTTTTCTAGTCTAGTCTAGGAGCTCAAAAGTATTGGTACATGTACTCGCACTTGTACTGAGTACTGTACTTGGTATCTGTGCAACCCTACTTTTGCTTATTAAATACCAGCTGAAGTCTGCTAAATGCATGTTTAAAGCTATAGCTGCTGTTATGTATTTATCACTTCCAGACTGCAGATGAAAGATATGTTTTACAAAATTGTTCAAAGAAAGAGGCAACTTCTGCTTTTTTTCTTGGCTTTGCTGAGAGCCATTCTGTTTAGTTAGGTCTCGGGCTCTTCCTGGTGCTGACCATAGAGACAGCCCATGGTCAAGCTCCAACAACAGCAGGACCTGGTCAATATGGCTCTTGGTTGAGGGATTATGGTTGGGTTTAAAGAAGAATTAACTTTTGTTCCAGGAATCCTCCACAACAACCCCAAGTTAATGTAGTTTCTTTAATAATTATAAGAGGTTTGTGGTATCTGCACCTTGTCCTCTAGAAACATTAAGGAGATGTTGTAGAGTAGGGCCTTTTGAACTCCTTCTCTCCCAATAGGTAGGCTAAGGCAGCCTTTCATTTAATGAGGCTGTCATTGCAGATTCCTGAAATGAAAAATACTGATAAGAATCATTCTTCACTTTCCTCTATTTGTGATATTCCCCTCCCCCTTTGTTCTTTTCTATAGAACATGTCAGACCTTAACTTCAGATTTTTAAAATTGTACTATAAATGGATTTTCCTGCTTTTTTTTGTATGATTAGTGAACCATGGAAACACGCCACATTGCTGCAGGATTCCATGGTGGCTTAAAAAATATGGAGGCATTGGTCACATGATATCTACTAAAGGGAAGGACCAGCCGGTCCACAGCTGTGACTGGGCTCTAACCCTCCCATGACTGGGCATATGATCAGCCACCATGATTATTATGTAGCAGTCTCTGCAGCCAATGTGAGTATTTATAACTTCTGTGTTAAAAGGACACCAAACTCAAGAGCTAAACCTTAAAAATACATCCAAGTACCTTTTAACTATTAACAAAAATGTATCTTATTTGTGTATCACATGGCTGTAGATCCTCAAATCATCTCTGAATTCATACCGACACTGTCCTTCCTTCTGGAGGGTGGATACTTTTGTCCCCCGTGGTCCCTGTGTGTGTTGTAAAGTATCCACCACTCCGAGCTCACTCCTGGGATGGACTACAATCTCAATAGAAATTAGTAAACTAAACGTGAGATTGTAGTCCATCACAGGAGCGAGCTTGGAGCAGAAGACACAGGGACCATGTGAAACAAAAGTAGCCACCCTCAAGAAGGAAGGACAGTGTCAGCACCAATTCAGAGATGATTTGAGGATCTACAGCTGAGTGATACACAAATAAGATACATTTTTGTTCATTTTTCAGGTATGTGAATGTATTTTTAAGATTTAACTCCTGAGTTTGGGGTCACTTTAACTCGCTTCCTGTCCTAGATGCAACTGTAACAAAGATAGAAAGCAAAGGTAAATCTCCCCAAGGGGTGACGGACAGCAGAAAAAGCCTGACAAAGGTTTTGACCAATCTCTTCTTTGGGTAGGATCACAATTTAGAAGATGTAACCGTGTGCTATATAGGAGAAGAATTCATCTGAATGTAAGAGTGCTGGCTTCCATTTGGCATGGCTTGTTCATATAGAAGACCATGTTCCATTCTGATTTTGAAGGACTCGGATTCAATCGGCTTGAATGGCAAAATGCAGTTCAAATCAACCATAGTGCAGTGTACTGAATTTCATTTCCAGTGTGTTGGGGTAGCTTTTTCTCCTGTCCAAGCAGTTTTCCTTTATCCAACATGCAGCCAAATACATAACGACTCATGTGGCGGAAACGTGGTCACAAGCATTTTCTTTGTATTCTTTGTAGTACTATTGCTTTATGTTAGGAACTGACACGCTTCATGTCCTCGGCATTGTAGACATATAAACAGAACGCTGTGCACATTCATATATTGCTTAATGTCAGAGGGGTACATACCTAAACTGTTTTTTTTTTCTGCATTTTAGAGGCCGCAAGAAGAAAAATACCCTGTAGGACCTTGGCTTCTGGCACTGTTTGTGTTTGTTGTTTGTGGATCAGGTATGAATACAAAGCAAGGAACATTGCCATACCATCAATAGCTGTCAGTGGAAATTGAATGCTAAGCTTACTAAGAAATAATGAATGCATATTTCAGTAGGTATTGAAGTAAGGGAACACAGAGAATGAATCTCACGGAGGTATAACAAATGAAGTCTGCATTTGTTTACCCGAATCTGCAGATTTTAACCCCTTAAAGGCTTGGTTTACCTTTCTGACCTTGTTCTCAGTCACACCCATTTTCTGTGTGTAACATGAAACATGGTCAGAACACAGATCCCACACCCCCTCCTAATCCTGCCTACTTACTTAAATCACAGGGTTCTTCCCACAGGATGCTCTATACCTTTTGAATTTGGCTCTGCCCACACACTGCCCATCCTTTGATAGGATCTGTAAATGGAGAAAGTACAGGTTCCATCAGCCACTGCAGCACAGGGACTTGTAATTCTCAATAGAATACAAGTGTAGTATCTCTACGACTAAGCCTGTGATTGGGTGAAACGTGTCAGAGGGGGCAGACCTTGGGTGGGACACCAGTGATGTGGTTCAAGCTTCAGTAAACTATCCCAGTGGAATCCAGTGTGCGGTCAGCTTCTCTTCTGTTTGTATAAACTGCATATGCATATTTAATGCACTGTGAGAATAAGCTGTAAGGGCCTGTGTACATCCCAGATAGCAAGTAATTGAGCTGCAAGTTTGAAAATGACTTGCTAAACTATTGCAGACTTGCCAAGCTTCATAATTTTGTTGCACAATTACATCAAGTCTGCATTGCAAGTCTCCAGACCAGCCAGCTTGCAGAGCTCTTGCTAAGACCTGCAGGGCTCTTGCTGTAGACTTGCCAAGCAAATTTGCTACAAATTCAAAAAGTGTCAACTAGAACTTGTGCTGCGAGTGTTCTGCAAGTCTACAACTTGCCAGGAATATGTGCAGCAAGTTAACAAAATTACAATTTCACCCCGCCACAAGTTTGTGGCAAGTTATCCTTGCTATCTGGGATGGGCTTGTGTTCCTGTGAGGAATTATTTTCTCTTAATTCAAGTCAATGGAAATACAAGAGCAGCTTGAAGCATTTTAGGAGGCCAAATTCAGGTCAGAAGAAAGTGAGAGGGTGATCACAAACATCTGTAAAGGTGTCCCAAGGCATAGACAAGAAATATGGCAAGCAGTGAATAGAATTGAATGGAATGTCACTTCAATAAGGATAAGTAAACCGTGCGATGCGCCGGGATCGGTCCCAGCGCACACCAACAGGCGTGCGTACAGTGCAGCTGGCTGGAGTGAAGAAGCCCTCAATCTGAGAGGTGGTACTTCATACATTGAAAAGGAAGTTCTAGAGTTCAGGCTTCAGGAAGCAGATTCACTCCCTTCACATGTGTTAATCTCTGGAATTTAGCTGCAGGGGATTACAGAGCGCTCACAGTAAGGAAATATAAGTGAGCTTTAGTAGATCACTAGCTGGATTTTGGCTCAATGCAAGGCTTGGCCGGAGATTACGTTATTTGACATTGCCCTCCGAGACAACAATGAACATCACTGGAAGGGCTTGGTATCGCTTGCAAATAATTTCCAGTTGTCATACCCAGGAATACATCTGACCATCTACATATGAAGAGAAAGGATGAGAGCACCAAGCCGCAGGAATTGGTATGAATATTTCATTTTTCACAATAAAAGGGTCTATGAAGAATTGACACCCAACGTATTTCAGAGGTCATGCACAAATCCTCCTTCATCAGGGCTATTATATAACTGAGACAAGTTTTATGTAACAGTAGTTTTCGTTACCAAAACAACGGTTATATAAAACAACTATTGTATAAAACCTGCCTATGTTGTAGTATAGTCCTGATGAAGGGGGATTTTTGCATGATCCCTAAAATAGGTTGACTGTCAATTGTTGCTAGAATCTTTTATGGTGAAAAAAAACCCCTTAAGGACAAAGGCCTTTTTTTATATTTTCTTGCACCCATGTTATAATCCACATTTTAGGCTTGAAAATTACTTAAAACCCCCAAACATTCTATATTTTCTGAAAGCCAAGACCCTATAGAATTAAATGGTGGTAGTTGCAAATTTTTATGTTGCACAACCATTTTTTTGGCCAAATATAAATGATGAGGTTACAACGAGTAAATAGATACCCAACATGCTTAGGTTAAAAATTGTGTGTGTCCGTGAAACTGTGACAAAATTCAGTATCCCAAAAAGTCCATAGACAACACTTTAAAAGCCCCTACAGGTCATCAGTTTAGAGTTGCATGTACATATTGGCCCTAGAATTATTGCTCTGGTGTGTGCAGTGATACCCAACATGTGTATTGCAATTGCCGTTTTCATACGTTAGTGCACCCAATGCGTGTTTATGTGACGTCACGTGTCCTCGCCGGGGACTTTAAACATTTAAAAAATGTTTTTTCTTTTTAAACTTTAATTGCCATCACATAGGGGGGCTTACAAGCCCCCCATGTGATAGCATATTGGCGGTAACAGGTACTCTTTAAGGTGGCACTGGGGGTCCAAAAGACCTTTCCACTTTAAATAAGCTATTGAAGTGCAGATTGTACTTCCAATAGCTTATATCTGGGCTTCAGGAGCCCAGCAATGATTACTATGGGACCGGAAGTGATGCAATACGCATTGCTCCCTGTCCCATAGAACGGGGAGGAAATCGGCGAACTGACGTTCACCGATCTCCTCCCCAGCTTCCTGCTGACAGAATTGCTTCTACTGTAAAGCCAGCCTCCGGCTCTACAAAACTCTCCGGCTCTACAAAACTGTACAGAAAAGCCACCGGGAGTCTGTTTTAACCCCTTCAGACTTCATGATGGGATTATCCCATCATAGGTCGTGAAGGGGTTAAAGATTCGTTTATGGATCAATCCCTACAAACCTGGCACTCTTATCCCTTCTCTCCCTCCAAGTTGACTCTCCCAGGGACAACACCAGGGCTCACTATAACAGTCATTTGAACTGCCACCAAGCTTTGAGTCCAGCGTTTCTCCAACTACGTTCTGGAGTTTGCCCATCTATGCCCAATGGAACTTGCTCTGAAACAACAAACCTTTGTTTGCTTACATTTCTACTGTATTGGTAGAGCGCAGCATGGCATAGATGACTGGTTGAGCGCAGCATGGCATAATGACAGACATTCTTTTACCTGAGCGCTCTTACAGGCTTGTTATATGTCACTGAGGATCTTGTATTGTTTTAGGATCTATAATAGCAAAATATGCAGTGCTAGTGTTTCAGGTAGATATACACTGTGTGTGTACACACACACACACCTAGTTCTGGCACATCAGCTTGGGATCAGTTGGAATTCCACCGTGGTTAGGATCTGGTTATAAACAACAACACCATACAATAGCGTGTGTGTGTATTTTTTTGTGTGTGTATATATTTATTTTGTATTTCTTTTACAAATTTAGCTGTTGGAGTACAGCTTTAAATGTACCCTTGATTTTGTCCCATAGTCCTGCAGTGAACAACATTCATATTTTGTTGCGTGATCATATACACAACAGAATATCGTTCTTCAAACAGGATATCCAGTTTGGTCTATTTAACCAGACGTCTTAAGCAGCTGACCTTCCTGGCACCTAACCAGTCTGCTGTTCTTGTACTCAATCTAGTACACTTATGTAAGGACACAGTAAGAGTCTACATGGACTGTGCCATAGGGCACTTGGAAACTTTCTTAAACTGCAATTAATGCAGACTTTGCTTTTCATAACCCTTTCCTTACATACCGCAAACAGAATCATTCTTCTTCAAAGGCGCACAGCTGTTTTCTTGAAAATGTAAATATTCTTGCTGTACAAGCCGTTTTGTCAGTAAATGTTATTAAAAATTACCTTTTATATTTAACTCTGCAGCCTGTCATTATTCCTGTAAATGCTATCAAATGATCTTGCAGCAACAGTAGTTAGTAGCCTTTCCCAAAATCCTCATCCCACAGATTCCACTGGGCTTTGTGTTCGAGATAAACACATTTTATTTGATGTATTCCATTAGTCCTTTAGTTCTCCCAACTCCCGTGATCCTGTTTGGAAAATGCACAACAATGTTTTTTTATTATTTTTTTTTCCTTTCATTTTTTGTATCTTCATATACACCAGCTGGACAAACCAGACATTTTTGGGTTGGTTTCTTCATTGCCAATGAGCTGTGAGTGTGAAGACTCTGTGCCATGCTGATACCAGCCCGTATGGCCTATAGTATGGACACTGGGCTCTTCCATACCTCTACTGGAGAAAACACTCTCTCTACTTTGCTTTAACCAGTTTAGCGCTCACACCTTTAAACCTCCTATGGACCAGAGCAATTTTTACATTTCTACTATGGGCTTGTTCATTCAACAATAACTTTGTCATTATTAAAGATAACAAAGTAATAGATAATTTTTTTAGGATAAACAAGGCTTTCTTTTAGGTAACATTCACACTAGGTGTGATTGGATGTGAAATGGTTTTCTAACCACGTATACACTGAGTGGCCAGATCATTATGACCACCCCATCAGTACTTCGTTGGGCCACGAGATGACTCCACGAGAGGACTTCGTTGGGCCGCCTCGTGACTCCACGAGATGTTGAAAGGTGATGCGAGGAATCTGACACTGCACTGTTGCCCTTCTGTTGTCTTGTACCAGCCTTGCCACTCTCCGTTCTGCAGTAACATTGACTAGTCGCTGACGGCCACAATTCGCACGTTCAGACCCAGATTTTCGGCTGACAGTCCAGTCTTTAAACACTTTAACAACAGCTGCTCTTGGACATTTAACAAATTCTGCTGTTTTGCTGATACTCGCTCCATGGCTCAGAGTGCCAACAATCATCCCACGTTCAAAGGCTGTTAAATCGCGTTGTTTACCCATATCTTCAGAAACAAATCACTTCTACTGTCGTGGTAAACAACCTGCTTCCCTATTTATAATGGTCTGGCCCTCTAGCAACTTCAGCGCGAAATTATAACTAATCATAGCTAATCTGCCTACAAACGTCATGTGGTCATAATAATCTGGCCTCTCAGTGTATATGCATCTTATGATTTCCAATGGATCTATTCACGCTTTGCATGTAGATGATTTTATCTGCATTCAGTTTAGCTGCATTGAGAAAAAATAGAAGTCAGGTGCGTCTAGTAAACAATTTTAACTTCTAAATGTACCAAAATTCCTGTAAATGCAATTTAATGCTAGGATTTAGTACCAGATATATCTAAAGGCATGTGCATGTAAGCATGAGTTATTTATCGCAACTCGAAGCATAAACACAGCATCCAGCCTGACCGATTGTTCACGGTATGTAGAGCACAAAAACCACAAATGGCAAGTGTAAATGAAGCGTAGGTAATACTGTCTTGCAGAAATAGACAAAAAAAAAGTAACAAAATAAAAAAAATACTTGTTTTTTTTACTTTGATTAGTGTTAGTTTTAAAAAAAGTTACTGTAAATTAATTTTTTATAAAAAGTATAAATCGTATTCTATAAATGGTTCTGTTTAGAATGACACCAAAATTCTGATTCTGGTACAAAGCATTGAAAAGTTTTTACAAATGAAATTAAAGCTTTATTTTACTTTGCACATACATAACTAAAGCTGGGTATACACGGGTCTATTTTTTTTGTTTCATTTCAACCCGCGGGCTAAATGAAAAAAAAAAAAATAGAACAGGTTCCTGTTCAGTGTGGATGGACGAATCCTGCGCTGCTTCCATTGTATGCTGACAGCGACACAGTCAGAATACTGGAACGGAGCTTGCAGCTGATTGGCTGACCGTTCAGCTGAAGATTTTCCAATATGTTCCTTTAGCAAGTGTTGATCTAATGATCAACTTCTGAAATAATAGGGACACCAACGCAGCAAATTTCTTGCTGAATTGGCCAAAATTCACTGTGTGTGTTCCCAGCTTTAGTGAAAGGGTCACTTAATTCCCCCCTTCCTAGCAGCATTTACTCCCCTTCCCCACTCGCATGAGCTCCAACACGTTGGTTTGGAGCTTACACAGGGATTCCCCCCCCCCAGGTTCTGCTCTGCATTATTATAGCTTGTTTAAAAATGCATGACCCTTTTTTCCCCTCAATTACCTACTGTAGGTTGTAATGCGCTACAATTCAGGTGCATCAAAGTGAATGGCCCACAACGCATGTTAAAAGCGTTACCGCTAGACAGGTTTAAATGTGCCCACATTACCCTTTTTTTATTTTTACAACACAGTGCACCACAACTTATGGCATGTGTGTTGTGATGTGCTGCAATGTGGCTACGTTGCGATCAATTAAATGGCAATGCACTGCAGTACATGTATGTTTTCCACACATTAACACAACACATGAGTAACAAAGATAGGAGCAGCAGGGATCACTTGAAAGGTGAGTTTTCTGGGGGGCATAAGTCACAGTCGGGGAATTTATCAAAACTGGAGCAGATTTACTTCAGATTCTGAATAAATCCCCGCCCCTGCAGTGTCTCCTAAATGCTTTATTTCGTACTTTAACATGCATTGAATTAAGGCAGCCTAATGCAGCGCACCACAACACACTGATGGTCCCCATGTGTGCATTGTGTGCTGAAACACAAATTTGTTGAGATGCACCGGCAAGGTTCATCGGGGTGCTAGGGAGCTGACAGAAGGATGACACTCTTTTTACAATAAAGAAATAAACTTCTAACACTATTCTCAAGCAGGGTGTCTTCTGGCTACCTCAGGGGTGCCTCGACATTTCACACAACATTAGGCTGGCCACCAGCACCATGGAAATGAATAACCCTAATCCAGGGAGGGTGGGATCCATTCAGAAAAGGATAGAATTTTGCCTCCATCCAGGCCTTCACCTCCCACCCTCTGACATGCTGCCGCAGCTCCTATTGTATTGGTAGGACTCTGATGTAAAAGGGGGCTCTTGATATGAAGGAGAACACGGATGTGAAAGAATGGGATTCTGATATGAAAGGGGTGACTCTGAAGTGAAAAGGGGGCTCCTGATGTGAAGGGGGGAACTTATCATATGAAGAGGGCTCTTGAGGTGAAGGGGGACTGATGTGAAAGGGAGAAAT